TAATAATTGCATTAATGCAGGGACATGTAGAGGGACTGCTCTGGGTCACCTTATCCCACGGGCAGACTCTATGCCAGTCTCTGGACTGAGCTTTTACACAAATCATCTCATTGATCCTCATGCCATAGTTACCCCATTTGCAGATAGAAAAAGATAGGCTCGGAGGTGGTAGGTGACCGCACTGAATCACACAGCTAACAAATGGCAGAGATAAGTTTTGAGTGCAGAAACCGAACTGCAGACTCTCGTATTTTTTACCACAGACCTTCAGCAGGGGCAGAGGCTGCCAGAAAGGCCTGGGAGGAAGGGAACAGCTTGAGTCTCAGAGCAGGGCAGACCAGACACCACAGGGCTTGCTTCTCTAGCCCTGTGACTGCAGCCGGGCCCAGCCTCCAGGCTTATTCCTTCCTCTGCAAAATGAGAGAGGTTTTTGACTTTGATCCAGTGAGATAACAGTGCAGGTGAAGTGTATGTAACACTCATTTATCAAGAAATCACTCTTGCTCTGACCTTGGGACTCTGTGTTGAACAGGACAGGCATGACCCTTCCCTGCTAAAGCTCACAGCCTGATGAGGGAAATGTGGAGAGTCGTGGGGGCACTGAAGGGGACGGTGCCAGGAGAAGCTCTATCTGAACTGAAAAATGGTTGGGGAGAGGTGTTAGGAGGAGCAAGAAGTTAGCCTGGGGAAGGCCCGGCATGGCAGAGTGCTGAACAAGCATGAAGACCCACAAAAGGGCAAACAGTCTGGGGAGATAAAGTGGTGCAAGCACCTGCCTGACAAACACAAGGACCCCTGGGTTTGATCCCTAGGGCCACATGCCATGCTAGCCCTGGACCCGTGGGTATGCCTTACTGGTTACGAAACTGGGCATAGTGGTGCACCCCCGTGCTGGGGAGGCTGAGACAGGAGGATCACTATGAGCCTGAACTGCATAATGAGACCCTATATCAAATAAATAAGTAAATAAATTAAAATTAAAATAAAAAATGTTAAAGTGCAAACAGAGGGCCGGAAAGAGAGTGATTCCCAGTGGAGGAGCCAGGAAGGCTTCCCAGAGAAAGTGCTTGTGGTAACTAAAAGCTGGAGCAAGACTGTACCTTCAGCGAGAGAGGGCTCGGCGCTCTAGATGGTGAGGACAGCACCCACCGAGAGGCACAGGTCTGGGGGCTTCTGGGCCATGTGGGAGAGGGCAGCCCAGGAGCACAGGTATAGTGGAACAGGCTGGAAACAGATCAGGGAGCCCTGAAGACCTCGTGAAGCCTTTGCTAGACCATGGGGAGGTCAGCGAAAATCTTTGAGCAAGAGACAGCCAACCAAGAGCACCGCCATGTTCCAGCTAGATGGGAAGTTTCCATCTTGCTTCTTCAGAGGGAGAAATTCCCAGACCGTGAGGGTACTGCGATTTCCCAGAAGCTTTGCTACTTCCTCACATTTGTGAGCTTTCTAGTTCCGTACAGTGATTACCCACAAAACCTGAAACCAGAAGAGATGGTGGAACTGCAAAGGCAGCCAGGCGTGGGGGACAGCTGGCAGGGGGCAGCTGAGTCTGAGCTCGAAAGGAGAAGCAGCAGCCCCGAGGCTGGTATGTCAAGTGCAGACAAGCACGCATGGGTCACGCAGAGGGGCATGAAAGGCAAGTCGTAGGGTCATGGTCTGGCTTCTAGAAGGGCCCCTCGTCTCTGCCTGAGCCTTGTCAGGCGTTGAGGCAGCCACGGCAGATTTTATTCTGAGCTGTGGTGACCTCTCATGGCCCAGACAAGCCCCAAAGAGAGGCTCACCCAGGGAGCCACAGCCTGATCTCAGGCTCAGCCTGTAGACCCGGCCAAGGACAGGACCCAGACGTAGACACTCTCTGACAAAGGCAGTGACCTGGACAGCAGACTGCAGTGATCATGGGCAAGCTAGCCCGGGCTCTGAGCCTCAGTTTCCTCACTGGGTTAATCTTCCCTGGCTCCTCTCTAGGTTTACTAAGAGAACAGGATGGGACCACATCAATGACATGCTATCTGTTCTTTGGGGGTGGCTGCCCCTTGAGGCCCGTAGATGGCTTAGCAGGCAGGACAATACATTAGTACGTGACCCAGCCTATGGGCACAGTGAGTGGAATGATGGGAAAATTCTGTGTGGCCAAGTGGCCCGAGCTTCAATTATGCTGAGGAGAGGTAGAGAGCCACTGCCCACTATGCTGTGTCCTCAGCTCTTTTCTCTTCTGTTTCTATTGGCTTTTTCAACAAACCTAAGCAGTTCCAGGCTCCTTCGGAAGGCCAGAACCTTTCACCAGAATTAAATTACGTTGTTCTCATCATGTTTGCACTTGATTTTTTCTTCCCAGAAGCACTATGACTCTGTGTATCATGAAGAAGACTTTCAGATGTCGCAGCACTAGCATTTTAAATGCTTATTTTCCTTACTCAGCAACTATGCATCTAGAAGTCCATTCCGTGGAAACAAGCACATAAACATGCCAGCGTGTGCGCAGTTTCATCATAATTTACAACTCTAAAAGGTTAGAAACAGCATAAAGTATCCATCAAGAAGGGATGTCTATGTCATTGATGGTACAGGCGTGGCTTTAATGTGAACCCCTCACAGTGGATTAATTAGTGTCTCTGTGGATCTCTGTCCTGTGAGTACACCCACAAGGTACTGCTAAGTGAAAAACTAAAAGTTGCAAGATGGAAATAGTAGCTTTTAAAAGGACTATAATTTAATTAGATAAAATACAAATATTAGTATGGCTAGTAAGGCAAGGGTCCTAGGAAAGTATAACTGAGCTATTCATAGTGAGAAGCAGAGTTTCCATAAAATAGAATCTTAAACACAGAGTAGCCCCAATACTGGACTCTAACGGCAGAGTCTGGTAATGACTTATTTACAAATACACGCTTATGTTTTTTAAACTTTCATAAAATTAATTATTATAAAAACAGAGCAATAAATTCAAATAAAAAAGGCCTCTAGAGCCGGGGCACTAAGGCAAAGCAGGGACATTAATGGGGGATGGGAGGCCCCGCCTCCACTAGGTCTGATGAGGCCCAGGAGGAAGAGCCCCTTTTAGTCTTTCTTTCTTTCTTTTTTTTTTTTTTTCCAGGAACAAGGACCCTGGTTGGGAGAAAGGTGGTGGAAGAACTGTGTGACCAAGTGGCTCATCTGTCTGCACGGAAAAGTCCAGCTCACTGTTTTCCTGGCCCTGCCTGTGGGGAGACTGAAAGGCAAGCAACCAGCAGGGTTCTTAGGTCACGCCATACCTTGCACCCTCTCCGCATGGCAGCATGAAGAGGCCCAAGCCCTCCACCCTAGTTTTAATATTTTTACCTCGTCCTCAGATTCACGTAGCTCTTCCCTACCGACCAGCACTTTTCTGCACTTTCTCTCATAGACAAATTGCACTAGAAGGGTCTGGAGCCAGGGCCTCACCGACTTCCCAGCCCTTTGGCTTGGCATCCTTTATTTCCTTGACCACGGATCTGGTAGTAAGCCAGACCACACTGGCCACACAATCCCAGCAAACCACTTCGAAATCTGCCCTTTCATCTGTAATGGGCGCTGGGCTCAGAGGCTCCGTGGGGGGAAAGGAGAGCGTGCACAGCAACCAGGTGGTCCAGGCCTGCGGCACCTGTGGGGGCCATCGCAGCCAGAGCTGATCATGCTTTATCTCTGTGGCCTTGTTAGTCTCACTCACTGCTAGGGGACTGATGTGGCATCCCCAACCCAAGGCTGCATGAGGAGTGCTCCGAGGTGGGGCTGGAGTCTCCTGAGCTCCACACTAAGGCTTTCCCAAGAGCAAAAATAATCCTGTGTGGAATGAGGCTTGTTCATTCTTTTTCTGGAGCAAATCTGGTATCACCTTACCCAACTCGCTGCAGCCAGGCAAGAAGGGAGTAAGAGGCTCTGGTGTCCTCTAAAGCCAGGATCCCCTTGAGGGTGGGCTTTGGGTAGCCACATCCTTCAGATGATTATGTTTTCCCTGGCTGTGGTTCAGCTGCCCCTGAGTTGGTGGCTGGGCCTGAGTCAGAGCAACTCACAGCCCTGTTCCTCTCTGCACTTGAACCACATCCCCAGACTCCTGGAAACAGTCCAGGGAGACCTGCGGCTCCAAAGGGTTTCCTTTCCCCAAGCCCAAGCAGAGATGTCCTTCCCTGTGCTCAGAGACAGCAAGGGATGGCTTGTGGACACACAGTGAGCAGGTGATAGGCTTTGGGTGACCCTCCTGAAGAGCCCTGGTGGGAAGGCTAAGAAGCCCCAGCCTTTTCCAGGACCCATGCACTCTGCCCCTGCCTCAGAAGCTCCACTGTCCTGTGCTGTCCCCAGGGCCCCTCAGGCCTGGGCTTAACAGAGGAGTCTATGGCCAGTACTAACCTGGCCCGTGGGGACCAGATGCCTGCCTCACGTCAGCCCCACCACCACTGAGCTGGTGCAGCAGCATCCTATGGGGCTGGGGGCCGCTGGCTCTGCATGCCTGTCCAACCCAGCTGCTCTCAGAACCACAGCCTGGCTCCACATTTGCTTCCCAGCCTCACCCAAGCCAAGGCTCTCTCCTCTTCCTCCATTTCTCTTCCTCTTCTCTGTCCACCAACCTCTCCTCACTTCTTGTTCTGTGGCACCTTTGGGTGCTGTCTGTCTTATTTCTACCTGGGTCCTGACCATGACTCACCTGGACATGGAATCCGGGCTCTGGCAGGCACCTCTCACAAGCCACACCAGCCTCAGTCTGGTCATGGGCAGAGGAGGGGCAGGCGGGGAGGGTGACCCAGCTCAGGAGCCGGAGCCAAAGCCAAAGCACATGGTCGGGCGGGGAAAGGGTGGCAGCAGGGAATGCAGAGGCAGTGCAGAGACTGTCCTACTCAATCCCAGATAGAGCAACTGAGACTCAGTGCTGAAGGGACCTATCTGGAGACCTATCTGGGGACCTGTGTCTGGGATGAGCTCTGTCTGGTCTGCTCCACATTCACCACCCTCAGGCACAGGAGCCGAAGCCTGAGAGACACCACAGAGTCTGGAGTGAAAAACACCAGTTTTAATATTAAAATCTTTTCCTTAAAAAAGTACACAGATAGGAAAACTTAACAGCATACAAAATAGCACTTCTGATGTATAAATGTGAGTTAACGTGAGTCCTAAAAATACTTGTAAACCTAGGTGATTATATCTTTGGTACCGTAGTGAAAACCCACTCACTGCTCTCAGGCCAATTGGTGGGGACCCAGGGCTGGGAGACGCCAGCCAGGATGGCACTGGTGCCCAGAAGCAGAGCTTCTCTAGCCCTTCCCAGCCCTCCTCTCATGGCCTGTCCTGGCCCATTCCTTATTCACCTGGCACCTCCTGTGTCTACTCATTTGAGGACAACAAGGTGTCACTGGCATACCTGGGCAAAACTATACCCCAGTAGGGTACTACCTCAGGGATAGGGAGCTGGCAGTTGAGAAGGGAACACCAAGTAGCTACTTCTCACATTCCTTTACTGATGTAGCCAGTCTAGGCCTCTTGTCTGCCACAAGACATAGCTCCTTGCTATCCGTCACTTCTGTGGCACATGCCCCGGCAGTGGTGAGCATCATGAGGTGAGCCAATGTGCCATCTTGGCCCCACCTTGTCCAACACAGCTTCAGAGTTCACTGTGGGTATTGAAAGGGGTTTCATGAGGCCCTTGTTCCTGGGACAGCTGCTGGGGGCTTTCCAGGACGCTGGCTGCCAAGCCTGGTCTAAGTCCGGGCAATTGCTCTGGGGGCCTGAGGAAGGGGCAAAGCTTCTGAGTCCCTGGAGTGTGATGTGTGATCTGGAATCTCCCCAGAGCTCAGCTGGCTGTGGGGTGCTTGGCTTTGTTTTCATCTGGTCAAGTGTAACACCCTGGAATATTCTAGATCATTAGTGTTGGTGCGGCATCTAGAGTTAATGAGTCCAACTTGCAAATTATACAAGAGGAAAGAAGACTAGGACCAGAGAGGGTGAGGGATTCCTCCAAGGTGTCATAGAAGGTCCAATGCAGTCAGAACCAGCTACTGGAGCACAGGCCATACTGGCCTGTCAACACACTCATCACCAGCGCAGACTCGTGGGCAGATTAAGACAGGGGGACAAAGAAAGCCACAGGACCACTGGGGCTGGAAGCCATGGGGACCTCTTATGGCCAGGCTCACCCACGTGTTCTGGGCAGGGGCTCCAGGTCATATTTGGCTTAGCCCCTGACACTCATGAAGAGCATTAATCAAGCACGTTGGCCCCAAGCCAGCTCGGGCCTGGGAAAATAGAGAGAAGCATCGAGAGAAGTGGCTGCTGAGTAGCGCAGCCCTGGCCAAAGTAGGCCCAGCTCAGCCAGGAGCCAAGATGCAGGACGCCCTCCCCAGTTCTTAGGCAGATCAGAGCTGCAGTTTCCTGAGGGGCGGCTCACTGAACAGAAAGTGATTACCATGCCACCTCATTCACCCACAAACCTTCCCAGGGACTCCAAGAGCCCCACTGTCGCTCAGGGACATTGCAGGTGGACTGCAGATGACCAAGTCCAACTTCTCATCTTACATTTAGGGAAACTGAGTCCTGTGGGAGCACACTGGCTCACAGTCACAAGACCTCCCCAGAAGCAGAGCCTGGACATGGGCCATACAGTCCTCTTGCCTCGTAAGCCAGCCCCAGGGCTTACTGCACAGCAGGTTGGGACAAAAGTGTTCCACAAGGGGACAGCTGGCAGCATCAGCATGGTGCAAATGCCCAAGCTGGACCAGGACAGGCTGGATGCTGGGTGGCAGGGGCAGCCTCAGGCAGGGAGAGGAGGGGACCAGTCCCTACAGGAAGCTGTCCTCTGCTTCGATCTGGGGTCCAGGACAGCCTGAATTTGGAGGCTGCTCCATCTCTGACTGTGGCTCCACCTGCGGCTCTGGGTCTGGTTCCTCTTGGGGGTCCAGGGGGCTGTCACAGGAGATGGTGGAGGAAGTGTTGGCTTCATTCAGGGTAGAGCTAGAGGAAAGAGGCAAGAGAGAGGCTGGAGGAACGACGGTAGAACGAAATGGCCATTAAGTAAGAGCTTTCTATGTCTGCACGCAGTTCGGTCCTAGTAAAGACTGTGCAGAGCCTGCACTATGAGCGAGTGCAGCGCAGAGAGGCTGCGCCACTGCCTGCAGCACACAGCAGGGAAGGCAGAAGCAGGGACATGGGAGCAGGCCCTGCTGGCTCCCTAGTTCATTACCCATGCCTTCATGTCTGCATCCTCCGCACGCTAAGAGACTTATCGCACTGAGTCCTCTCAAGTCCCTAATCAAAGTGATTCACTGTTTTCACTTTACAGAAGAGGGAACTGAGGTTCAGAGAGGTGAAGGAGATGCCTGAGGGCACAGAACAGGCCTGAGATGCTGGAACTTTGTGCTCAGCCTCTCCGCACTGTGTGCCCACAGCCTCAGGATGTCCACCTCATCCACATCAGAGCCTTCATGGCCTGCTAAGAGCTGTGTGCACGACTAGCACATATGGAGAAACTGAGGCCCATGGAGGAGGAGCCTGCCCAGGCCCCAGGAGCAGAGCTGAAGCTAGACCCCAGCCTAGGGCTCCTGCCACCTCATCCCGGCTGGATCTTGTTTGGTGGTGGACCTGGCCTCAGGGGAAGCCCCGTTCTCCGCCCCCCACCGAACATCGCGTCCAGCACTGGCTGGGCCCTCCTCCAAATCTCTGCATGCTGACTACCACACCTGAAGGGAAGAACAAGTCATGAGCCTCCTTCTTAAGTTTGGATTTGGCTTGAATTTGTAGCTGCCTTCGCCTCGCATAGTCGGGCTCCCAGGATCATCTAGGCACTTAGGACGAACACAGGCTTAAAGCTGGCTGTGATCCCCCATGACCACCAAGCTTCTGGGGGCTAAGTGGGTCTCATCCTTCCCCTCAAGGTAGGGCAGAACCTAGAGAGGGATGGCATAAACATCCCATGAGGACTCCCTTGAAGGTAGAGTACCTCACAAATAGGTCCTGGCGCGTCCTTCTTCCCAGCCTGGCCTTCTCTCCTGAGGACCCCGAAGGTCGAATGGGTCCCATCTGCCTTCTCACTGGCAAGTATAACTGTCCACCTGAGGACACACACACACACACGCATACATGCACGCCCTGTGGTTACCTGGCAGGACTGGGGGAACACTCCAGTGGGCCCTCCTCGGCAACCTCGGGCTTAGGGTCAGGCAGAGGGATGATGTAGTCATTGTCACCCTCGTTGGGCTGTACGGCAGTATAAAGGACAGAGCTGGTATCCAGGGGAGACCGGAGGCTGTGGAACCCAGGCAAGCGGGCTTGGCACCGAAGGATGGCTGGGTGGTCGCTCCTCAGAAACTCCTCGTCAACCTGCTGGTACTTCTGCTCCAAGGGGCAGGGAGCACGGGAGAAACATGATGGTCAGATAGGCAGTGGCTCAGGGCAAAGAGGTAGCTGGTGCTCAGAGAGGAAGAAGTTTTACCCAAGGCTGCACAGCTGAGCTGCCCGCCCACCAGGCATCTCACAGCCCAGGTGATCGCCAAGGGAGGGGCAATTAATGACCAGCATCGTGACCCTAACTCTCCCCGGCTTCATCTTTAGCTTATTTTTGCAGCACTAGAGATCAGACCCAGGAGCCATGCTAGTTAGTGCTCTACCGCTGAGCCATATCCCCAGCCTGCTCCCTAGTTTCAGAGCAGGGATCCAGCTCTCACCCTGCCTTGGCCTCCTCCCATGCGGCCTCAGGGTTCCTTGCTATGAAATGGTGGTGGTTTCTGTACATCTCGCTCCCCAAGGACCATTGTGGGGTGGAGACAGGAGAAAGGAAGCTGAGGACCAGCTGTGCCTGTGCCAGAGGGGATGGGCATCTCCTCTCCCTGCCCGCTGTCATCCACAGGAAGTGGCTTAGAGCTTTCCAGCCCCCACTGGCCATGTACAGGCTGTGATGGGATTTGTGTTGGGCATTAGAGGTCATGTGACTTAGGGTTGCCCACACTGCCAAAAGAACCCTAAGGAGCTAGCAAAGGTGCTGAAGTCAGCGGTCAGAGAGGGCTGTCGCACCTGCTCCCCATGCAAACTCAACCATTTTCCAAGTCTCTGTGTTGCTGGCATAAATCAAACTCAGAGCTCTGGCAGTACCAGGAATGAAGCAAAAGCCAAGTGGGTGAAGAGTACTTCCTTCAGTACTGGTACCTCACATACAGCCTCGCCCCAAGAGCCTGGCTTCTGTATCTGAACTCTCTGCTTCCACTCTGCCTCAACTTACCTTTTTGTACCCCTCACCCAGCAGTCTCTCCAGAAGCAGCACCAGTTGCGAGAAGGGAGGCCGAATCTCAAACTTCTCTTCCCAGCACTTCTGCATGATCTCATAGCTGGGGAGGGGGCAGAGAGGGTCAGGCTCAGGATGCCAGGGTGGCAGGTGTTGCTGGGGGGCCCGGAAGCCACTGCCCCTCAGAATAAGGCGAGCAAGGGAAAGGACTTGGGGAGGCATGGCGGGGACATGGACTTCACATTGCCCCCACAGGCTGCCCCCTTGGGAAGCCCTCCCAGCACCCATCGCCTTGATGAGGACACGACTAGGCTTGGTCAGGGTTTTCCGGCCCTCAGCTCAGTGGCTGGTTCCAGTGGCCTGCAACCCCTACAGCTCTGTAGGCTCGGCTCTAGCATGCTGACTGGAAGCACAGTGTCAGCAGTGAGATGTAAAGCTGGCACTGTTGGCAGCCCTGTGGACAGCACTGACCCGAAGAGAGAGAAAGCAAAAGCCCATGACATGCACAAGGGAGTATGATGAAACCATCTGAACACCTACAGCCGGTGACAGCTGGATCTCTCCAGATCCCTGAGCTAATCAGGCTCTCTCTGGGCTGAAGCCAGCAGCCCAGCACACCCGTGATCTGCACCCCCAGCCTCCTCCCTAGCACACTCACATCTCATCAGAGGCATGAGCCGGCTGCGCCATGCGGTAGCCCCGCTTGATAGCATTGTAGAACTGCTCATTCATGGGCAGCTCTGGGTAAGGCGTGCCACCTGTGGGAGGCAGACAAGGAATACAGGTTCAGAGTCACAAAGAAGAGGCAGGGTGCCCTCCTCCACAGCATGGGGGAGGCATATGGTCCTGGGGTGGGTGAGGGCATGGTGTCCTGGCATTGGGAAATGTGCGCTCTTTCCTGGGGACCGGGCAGAGATGGCAACATTCCCCAAAATAGAAGACACGGGAGCCAAGGAGGTCAGAGAGACCCAGAGAGGACCAGCGCTTCCCAAGTCACACAGTGGGCAGGAAGTACCATAGCTGGGACAAGTCCCAGTGGTCTTGACCCATGTCCCAGCACCTGCCCCAGAGTTTTGTCATGCATGAGGCAGGAGAGGGAGGGAGACGCCATGCTGCGTGCTGGGGGCTGGAAGGAAGCACGCACCCAACGTGAAGATCTCCCACAGGAGGATCCCGAAGGACCACACATCACTCAGGGTGGTGTACAGGCTGTTGAAGATGCTCTCCGGGGCCATCCACTTCAGAGGCAGGAAGGTCTGCAGGGACAGCACGGGCACTGAGTGTCCAGCCCGCTCGGCCCCCAGATGGGAGGGGGAGGCTGGCTAGCTCCCACTGCAGCTGACGCCTATGTCCACACTGCTCCAGTCTGAGCATCAGGATGCTTCTTCTCTCACTGTGAGGGACTCAGTCCCCATCTTGGAGAAAAGCCGCACCATCTGAGCAGAGGCATGGGGACCCAGGGACAAGACACCGCCCCACTCTCCTCCTCGCTGCCTTTGATCTCCAGGGGTCTAGAGTTCTCTACCCCTGCACTGTCTGGGAGGAGGGGAGAGGAGTGGGAGGCAGACGGTCACATTTAACCAAACCAATCCTAGCCACTGCCTGCCACTGGCTCATCTGTCTTACTGTGTCACTGGGGCATTGTCCTCTGCCTGACACTCTGGTATAACAGGTGTCCTGAGCTTCCCATCCACCCCGGGCCCTCAACCCTGCTTAACCAGTGGACCCAGGTGTCTCTGCCTGTTTCCACTCTGGACACAGATAGGTCCCCTCCCTGTTCACACAGCTGGGTGGGCAGGACCATGCTCCTGGGCAGGACAGGCCAAGAGGAGCCCAGAGCAGATCTATGAACTGCAGCTGTGCCAATCAGGAAGGAATCTGTTCCTGGGGTCAGAGGCACACGCTGCCACCCTGTAGGGCCACAGAAGATGCTCACACTGCCTTTGGAGATGTAATTTGAGTCTCGCATGATGTCTCGAGCCAGGCCAAAGTCACAGATCTTGACTAGCTTGCCTTCACAGATGAGCACGTTCCTGGCCGCCAGGTCTCGGTGGACACACTGGATTGGAAAAGAGGGGAAGGAACTGAACCTCAGGGGCAACTGTGAGGGGAGGGCTTTAGGGGAAAAGCATTGATGCCCAGGTTTGAGGGGGCTCACTGTCCTGCCCACCAGAGGGGAGGTGGCTGTAGTATAGGGCTGAGCACGGGGAGGCCTCTGGCTCGTAGGGTCACCACAGTCCCACCCTGCCCCGCTCTGATCACACATACATTCTTGGAGGCCAGGAACTCCATGCCATTTGCCACCTGGTAGCTGAAGCCTACGAGGTCAGTGTAGCTAAGCACTGGGGACTCATTGATCAGAGTTGCCCGGTAGGTCCTCTCAGGGGCTAGGAGAAAGCAGAGGTCATATGTCACCTGCCAGCCCGTGGTCCAGCACACTCCTGTCTTTTGGTTTAGGGGAGGCTGACTGTCCGAGACAAGTGACTACTGATTCTCCTGAACACCTCCAGCTAAGCTGGGCCCAGCATCTTAGTTTTGCCTGTTTGTTTCTCAGGGACACTGAGACCTGGACTGGCGCTGGGCCAGTTTGGAGCCGATCACTTTTCCTCCAGGCCCCAGGAAGTCAGGCATTCCTCAGTATCCTACCCCAGCTTTCCCCCTCCCTGCAGACCCTGCTTATGCCTCTGGACGTTCAGACAAGGTTCACACCAAGATGCTGTTCTGCAGCAGCTCTGGGCACATGGCTAGCCCATTTCCACACCTGTGATGTGGAAATGGCCACCTTCCTCCCAGGTGGCTGCACAGCAGGGTACATGAAGGGCTTCAGAAAGAATGTGTCCTGCACAGTTACACTCCCCTGCAGGTGTGAGGGCACTGTGTCCACCCACCAGAGGGGACGTAGTTGTCATACGGGGCCATGTAGTTGGAGGACTCGATGTCTGCGTACTTGACGTCTCCTTTCATGTCCAGCATGGGCACGTAGTCCACTGACTCATCCTTGCTCATGTCCATGTAGCCACCATCACTCTCCCCACTCAGGGACATGGGGCTGGAGGTAAGAGGAACACAGCAGGGCAGGTCATGGGCATTCTCTTCCCTTCCCCTGCTGCCCCCAGCTCGTGCCAGGGCCCTTGTGGTCTGTCTGTCACTCATGATTTCTTCTTTCCTTCATCATCCTTCACTTCTCATTATGTGAATGACCTTAGACAGAGCCTTTCTGACTAAATGCTGTAGCTCTGAACTAGGCACTGGGATTGCCAAGATGACGTAAGACCCAGTAAGTGTCCTCAGAGAGCTCACACTGAGGTTACTACAGTGACTAAGCAAAGATCACAAGATGATGCTCAGAGGCATCTTTCTGGGGCCTCTTCAAGCACACTCAGGGTGCTGCATGAGTGCCCAGCCCACAACTCTGCCCCCAGAGCTAGCTCCCTAAGGGGCTGTGGGGTTGTACACAGATGTCTCCACAGACAGCAAAGACAGAAAGGAAGCCGCGGGAATGTTGGGAAGGACGGGGCCGAGTTTTATTTATTTATTTATTTTCTGTGTTTTAGGATAGGGCCTACAGGGTCTCACTACGTAGATCAGACTTGTAGTGATTCTCTTGTTTTCAGCCTCCCAAACTCTGGGATCACAGGTGCATGCCACCACGCCCAGTCTCAATCACCCTCTCAGCATGCCCTGGGGGCAGGACTAGCACAGTACAATGGGGATTGAACCCTGGCCACTGTGCTCTGCCTAAGCAGGCGCTTTAGTCCGTTAAGCTATCTGGCCTGCCCTTCAGGGCTGAGTTTTAATATCTATTGTGTGCTTTTCCAAGGTCATTCTTGTTTTGCCTTTTATAATGAGCAAAAGAATTTAGAAATTTTCTTTTGAGGAAAGATGCAATCAGGACTTGATATGCCCCTGGGGTACTGGACAGGCTGCAGCAGGAGCGGAGCTCACGGCACTGCGGTGCTGCTGGACAGCATGTCTTCCTCCCCAGTGCCTGCCCACAGGATTCCCCTGGGCAGGAGCACAAGACCCACGACCTGGGGATGGTGTGCTGTTTCAGAGACTCAGCATCTGTAGCGGGCTTAGTACAGGGCCCGGCACACTGAGATTCCACCGCTACCATCGCTATTGTTGCCTGGTCTAGGGTGGACACCCTGGCTCCAGAGAGATTCTGCCCCATACTCAACACCCTCTGTTAGACAAGAGTGCTCTGCGGGTGTCACCCCATCTCAGGGTACCTGGGCAGGGGGAGCCCCACAGGTAAGGTGTTGCTGTAGAGCTCGATGCTGGGAGGGTGGCGCTTGTCCGAATGGTGTTGCAGGAAGGTGTGCTTGTTTCGGTGCAGGTAGTCCACCAGGTCACCATAGCGGCAGTACTCAGTGATGATGTAGATGGGTCCTGTGGAGGGACAGGCTCAGGGACAATCCCTGGGGTGGCTTGGCCTAAAGTTTCCCACATAAATAAGCTGGCTGTGGGATGGATGACATGACAGCTAAGAGAACCCCGCAAACCTGGATTTCTCCTGCCTCTGTGACTATGAGCATGGTGCTTGGTCCTCTGGAGCCTTGCTTTCCCCGTCTTCCAAGTGGGCTAATAATGTCCATGCAGAGGACTGACATGTCAGGAGGACTAATGAAATGCTGCCTTTGCCCGTGTGGCATGCGACAAACAATGTTAGCCATTAGGGATGAGTTTTCAAACTAAAGCTTATACTGAAGCATGCAAGGTAACTATTATTTTTGGTTTACTTGTTACACTCAAATTCAGTGTATTTATTTAAAATCAACTGATGGGAGCTTAAAAAAAATTAATGAAAACAAAACTTGTGAAATGGGTGATCACTGCCGACATGAATTAGCCTGTGTACGCAGCGTACTTCTGTATTTTGATTAGATTGCACAATGCTAAGGAAAATCCCAAATCTCACAAGAAGCAGCTGCAAAGACAATTACATTTTTTTTTTCAGCCCAACTTGCAATCAGAGCTTCAGATAAACACAACTGGACAAAAGAACTTTCTTGTGTGATCTTAACAAAAGCATCCCCTGGGCGCCACCTTGGTGGTCTCTATGGGGGGCAGGTGACTCACCTCTGGGTCATATTAACTGCTTCTCATTACAGTTTTCAAAAGGTGTATTGTGCAAAGTAAAGGGAGGTCTGAAAACACTTTGATCTGGAACCCACTGGGTCTGGTACCTGCAGGGCCTTTTAGCCATGAAAGTGTTGCAAATCTGAGTTTCTAAGTCTCATGCCCACCCGAGACTATGAAGTGAGGACCTGGACAGGAAGAGGTGTGAACCTTCCAGCTGGGTGCCCCTCTGTCCTGGACTGAGACAGGGACAGGAGAGGTGAAGCCTTGCAGCCAGACCCCTTCCCAGATCCCTCTGGGGGTGGATGGGTACCTCCTTTGGTGCAGGCCCCCAACAGGTTGACCACGTTCAAGTGGGGCCCGAGGTGACTCATGATCTTCAGCTCCGACATGAGGGCTTGCTTCTCGCTGCTGCGGGCTGTGGCTGAGAGGAAAGAGGGCTCAGGCCAAGGCAGTCACCCAGCACTCCCACCTGAGCCTGTCTGGCTCCTCTCTCCACCCTGTGGTATAAGATCCTGGAGGCCGAGGGCAGTGAGGACCCACTCAGGGAGAAAGAGGCTGGGTGAAGGTAGGCAGGCTGAGGCACAGACCCCTCCTCCAAATACAACTGCCCTTCCTGTGTGGAGTGGGTCAGAAACAGGCTGGATGAGTATGGAGGGTGGGAAAAGGTGGAGCCCAGGACTCACATTTCAGCATCTTGACGGCCACCTTCATGGTGGCCTGTGAATGTCCCAGGCCGTGAGCTGTGGCTTCCACCACCTGTCCAAAGGCCCCAGAGCCAAGAGTGCGTCCTGGGATGGAGACAATCTCTCAGTCACAGGCCCATCAAAGAGCTGCACCCCATCTTTTCAATCAGGACTGGGAAAGAGCCAGTATTTTAGGTCAACTTCCCTGTCCCTCAAACCACCCTGGACTTAATCTGTTCCCCACCAGGGGCACCTACAGCCATAAGGCTTCCCAGTCCTTCCGGGATTCTGTATCCTTCTCCCTCCCCAGGGAGCACAGCTCCTCTGCACCCCCTCAGCCTCCCCAGCTAAGCACAGCACCTGCTGGCACGCAGTAGTGTGGCTCTCCTCAGTAATTTTCCTTTCACACAAAGGGCTCCCTCTTAGACTCTCAAGATCACTAGGCAAGCATTGGGCAGTCCCTGGGCAGCGTCTGGTCCTCTGACACAGAGGACCATTGAGGGCCAGAGGAGGCATGGTGCCAGCCCTTGGTCTTCCATGAAGTTCAATCTGGGACCAGACCCCTGGCAGTCTCCCTACTGCCTTAAGTCACCTAATTCTTGAGTGAGGACTGACCGAGCACGAGTTGGTCCCGTGGCAGCTCCCATGTGGAGTCGTAGGGCAGCTGCATGGGGTCCACATAGATGTACTCGTGGCCATCGGAGCTCACAGACTCGATCACCTTCCATCGGATTTCATAGCGTGGTTTCTGCAGAACCGAGATGGGGCAAGCTCAGCCTCGAGCTCACTACTTCTGGGCTCTTACAGGACAGGGGCCAGGAGGCTTGGAGATCCAGAGAGGGATAGGACATATTTGAAGTCACATAGCAAGTGGCCAACTGAGCTAAGGCCCTCGTGGGCTCAGAGGAAAAAGCACCAAGAAGCTCCAGTTGGAGAAGAAGGTAGTAAATCAGCTGTCAGGACCTGGCAAGCAGAGAAGCAGCTGATGGCCCAGGCCTGGCGCATCAGAACCTCCTCACCAACTTCCCTCAGTGCCCTAAACAGTGTGACAAGAGCTAGGCACATACTTCTTGACGGCGGTGGCCCCTCCCCACACCATGAGCCATCATCATGGGAATCTCAGAAGGACATAACCTTTGGTGTTTAAATCTTAGGTTGTTGGAATCACAGGATTGGAATCTAAAACTGACAGAATCATGGGGTAGTGCAAACCTATTTCAGGAATTTTAAAATGTTGGGCTCATAGAATGGCGAAATCTCACAACAGAACACAGATGTTACAGACTAATAAGGTCAGATTGCATCTCTGTAGACTCAGCAGCCTCCGTGGCAGGAGCTGGAAAAACCCTGGAATCCATGGGGTCTATCCCAAAGGCGTCACATCCTGCACCCAGGATGAGCAGGGCCGTGGTGCCAGAGGACACAGCAGGTCCACGGCAGCCCAGGCTGCTGAGAGTGGAGGCACTCAGGGTCCAGTGTCCCTCTACCCAAGTTTCCATCTCAGCTCCATGTGGGCCCCTTATGGGGGCTGATCATGAAGCACCTGTGGAGCCAGAGGGGTCCGTGCAAGCAAATGACATGCTGACCTGCACTCACTGGAGCAAGGGGAGCTTACCTTCTGCCAAAGGATGATGAGGATGATGAGGGAGATGATGGTGAGAACCACCAGGGCCAGGATGGCTGAGATCACTACCACCTTGAAGGGCAGGGCTGAGACAGAGACCAGAGAAGGTGTAAGCACACTGGCTTGGGACAGCTGTTTACCTCCACCCCACTAGGGGCTTCCCAAATCCCATCCTGGCCAGATGGAAGCCACCACCTCTGCAACAGCAGTTGATGTGAGACCACAACCTCTTGCAAAGGGCCACACCATTGGCCTGTCCTCTATTCATGTGCCTTAGTAACTACCCCCAGCTCAGGTCACTGCTGGCTTCCTCAGGCCTGAAGTCAGACTGGCCTTTCTGCTGTAGCTGGGCATAGAGTCTTGCTCTGAGCACCTGTTCATTGCCTGGGCCTCCCATGACACCAGGCACCCCGGAAGGCCAGGCTGAGCACACATCTCCTCTGATCCCATGCCCATGTCAGGGCTGTCACAGCTAAGTCAAAGCACTGGGCTCCACACCTGGCCAGCTAGCCTATGGACCAAGTCACTGACCACTGGGGAACCATACACTAAGCTCCCACAGCCTGATGACTCCAAACTCAAAAAGGAGCCTATTTCTCTTGGGTTCCACCCCTGGGCACAGCTAGGATGGGTAGTGGTGACAGTTATGAAGTGAGGCCCCCATAATGGGAGTGAGCATTTAGGGTTGGTCCCCCTCCCTCCCCACCCTCTGGCTCCTCTACCCCAAGACTCTTGCCTCTCTGCTGCACACTCACTGCCCAGCTATTCCTGGTAGATCCTTATCTCTCCTGCCCTGCACCACTGGCCACCCGTCTGGTCTCCTGGGAATCTGTTTCTGTCTTCTGTGTTCCTTCCTGCCCTTTTCTGCTCCCCAGGGAATCCTATCCAGTCTCACCCCACCCCCGCTCAGGGTCACAGATTGTCACCACTCCTTTTTCTTTCTTCCCAGCAATGACACATCACAGTCCTGGGAAGGAAACCTGTGTCCTCTGGGAAGTCCTCACCCAGCCCCCATTGTCCCATGCATTGTGCATGGCAGCCCCTCAGGCACCACATGACAGCTTTGCCACAGCCTCTGCTCTGAGCCGCTGTGCCCTCCAGGCCAGCCTCACTGTCCACTGAGTGGCCACACCTGCAGGGATCTGTGAGCATGTGCAGGAAGGTGGGGGATAAAGGTACTCTTAAAAGTTCACCCTCCTCAGGGCAAAGACAGGACAAATGTGTGTGCTGAGCATGTGAACATGCTCACAGGGTTGCTTGAGGACTCCAGGAGTGTGTGCAGAACACCTCACATGGTCTTTGGAGCACATAGCCCCATTCCTTACCACTTTCTTCCCTTCTGTCTCACCCATCCTAAATCCCTGAATCCACATAAATTTTGTGCTCTTTCCAGGTTGAATTTCTTCGACTTCACTGGGTTTTTGCCCAGGCCATTGCCTCTGACCAGAACACGGTTCCTCACCAGGGTAAGCCTTAGTCACCATGGGACTAATGGTCCCTTTCTCCAGCACACTTTCCTCACTCCTACAGTGAGGCGTGGGGTCCTAGTCTCTTTGGGCTTTCCCCCCAGAGAGGTGATCCTGGGTAGAATTGTCAAGTTTCTCTTCTTTCTAGACCAAAGGCACCAGTAGAACAGACAAGGGGGGACCCATGGTCCTCTGTACTCCAGTAAGAAATTGGATCCCTGGAACTATTTACTGAACAAGAAGCAGGTGAATAAGAAGTGTGTGACACAGGTGCAGGCAAACACAGGGAAGGGCAAGCAGGCATGCAAATGCACCTGGACACTGGCAGGCACAGTGAGCATTGCATGTATGTCTACCTCTAAAAGACAAGCGTTGCACAGCACGCCTATGTGTTCAGGGGTTGTGCATGCACACGTGCACATCCAGAGGACGTGCTGCAATGACACACGCATGGTTGTGCACTAGGCCAGGTTATGCACGTGCACAGGAACTGTGCATGCTTTGTTTATACACACGAATAGGGACTGTGCAATGACACGCACACATATGCAGACAGACATTCTGTGGGTTGATCCCCAAGTCTAGGGATCAGACATGCACATGCGCATGTTTGCAGACACCCATTCTGGGGGTTTACACATGTGGTCAGGCACCGAACGTGCTTACAGATGTACACTCTTGCTTTACTCGTGTGTTTGGGGTTTAGGCATTCTTCAGCACACCGTTTACAAATCTACACAGAGGCCACACACCTGTCAACGTTCAGTATTTACAACATACAACATGTACTGTTTATGTTCACTACATATAAGCACATAGTGCCGCTCATGTCCGCGTCATACACTCGCGCATGTTCGCAGGAACACACTGGTGGATCGGAACCCTCCTGTGTGCCCTCAGGCATGGTGACTTGGCCCGTGCCATGTGCCCTGGCTCAATCCCGGGGATGACAAGGTGAGAACAAGAGGGCATCAGGGTCGCCGGGCCGGGGAACTCACAATGCGGCACCACGGTGACCTCCTGCACGTCCTGGCCCAGCAGGTTGTGCACCATGCAGCGCACCGACAGCTGCTGATCCACGTGGCGCAGGCGCAGCGTGCTCACCACCTCATACTCCTGCTCCTCTGCCCAGTACGTCACGTTGGTTTCCAGCTGGCTCTCCTCTTCGGAACTGTTCCCCAGCGCAGTGGGCGGCAGCTCGTGCGGACACCTGCCAGGAGAATTAGGGGGATGGCTTGCAGACTCTCCCTTCTGCAGATGGAGAAACGGGGGCCAGAAGCAGGCAGCGCCACAGAGCGGTAGCGGAGGGAAGTAGGGCACGCCTGGTCCAAGCAACATCCACACAAGCTTATTTCCCATGCGCTCTTAACTGACCAGCAGAGGGCGCTCCCATTCCAGGCTAGAGAGCTCTGGACCACAAAACTCACTCATCTCACTTGACCTCCTAAATCATGCAATCTGAACTCAATTCTGCCGCTATGCACCGCGCTACAAACAATCTTGGTCAGGGGTACTGAACATCTGGGTAGATGAGGTCTCTCCATTCCGCACTGTGCTGGGCCGGAGATAGCTCAGGAATCAAGGTAAGGGACAAGTTGAAGAAACTGTGGTTTGGTCTTCTAGGATGTGGCTCTAGTCTGGAGCAAGGTGTTCAGAGGAGGGGGCTGGACTAGATAAACGCCACTGGGTCCTAGTAGCCAGCAGTGGGTACCCTGGGAGACTGAGGCATGGGGTCTGCTCACCTTCTGAGGTCTCTGCAGGTAAACCAGGTGACATGTGGCTGGGGCATGCCTCTGCCACGACAGCGGACTGTCTGCTCCCCATTGGCAGGGTGGCTTTCACTCAGCTCCAGCACACGGACCGGGACTGCATAGAGAAGTGCAGGGTCAGGAAGTAGGGAGGTCAGAATGGTCTTCGGACCAGCCCAGAGCCTCCCCTGTGGAGGGAGACGCAGACTGCAGGTGAACAGTAAATACCAGGAATCACAGTGTGAACCTTGATGGGTTCCCTTTCCAGATACTTCAAAGGGAAAGCCTCAGTAGGGTGCTAGTCTGTCTTTAACACCTCTCTGAGACTTGCTAATCTTTCCTTCCAACCAAGAGAAAACAGGCCTAAAGCTCAGAACTCTGGGCAGCCACGCTCCCAAATAGCTCTGTTTTGTTCACTCTGAGTTTATTTTAGTGGTTGATTTATATTTATGACATGTAATGCTGAATTTCCATCTATGTTAAGAGGTTAAATTTTGTCTTTCAAAATAAATTTATTTTTAGAAAGCTGACAGACAAAGCACTCAGCCACTGTGCTATCATTCCTGTGCTCACATCCCAGTGGAGATGCTGCTTCATGTGGGCCACACAGCAGAACAAAAGCTGGACCACTCGGAAAGCGCATACACATCTGCCCTCCCCCACCCGCCACCCATCTTCACTCTGACCTCATGCCACACACACTCCCCCTCTGTTTTGGTCACACAGGCCTTTCGGCCATTGCTCTGACATTTGTACTGCCTGAAGTCCTTCTTAAATAGTCGCTTACCCAATGCCCTTATCTACTTCAGGCACTGCTGTGAATGTCTAATCCTCAATAACGCCAACCCTGACTACCACATTTGAAAGTGCCACTGTCACTACCCCTTGTGCCCAACATTCATGATCCTCCCTACCCTGAGCCACTCTCCACCCTACAATAACCCGTATCATTTACTGAGGTTTCCTCTCCTACTGTTTCACGTTTGTCTCCCTCCATTACGATCCAAGCTGCACAAAGCCAGAGTCTCAAGAACTCTGAACAGACTGATATATTGTGAATGCTCAATAAATATCTATTGAATTAATAGTATACTCTACAAGGGCTGGGCAAAAATATGGTGTGTTTAACTAAAAAAAAAAAAAAAAGTCATTATAGTAAAAGACATGCTGCCACTAATCTCCCTCAAAATACTTCCCCTTGCTTCAAAACATTCATCCCATTGCCTGTGCCACTTTCTGAAGCAGTTCTAGCAGTGCTCTTGCACAAGTATCTTTAAGGTATGTGATAAAAAATAAAGGGACTGCTACTGCCAAGTGCTGTTCTAGAGAAAGACAGATTTGTAAAAGCAGTATGATGTGTCCACATTTACTTCATTCACTGGATCTGGCTCTTGGCTAAAGTGAAAATGACCACAGAAGGTAAACATCTGCATTCAATTCAGAACACTGAGGCAGCTGTGACAGCGCAATTTGAGACACCAATGAGAGAGCACCTCCAGAGCTGCTTCAGAAGGTGGCAGGGGCTATGGGATATGTTTGGAGCGAAGAGGAGGATTCTAAGGGGCACTAATGGCAATGTGTCTTTTACTGCAATAAATTATTTTATAAGCTTTGACATTCACTGTATTCTTTTTAAATCACAGCTCAGTAGTGATATGTGAGAAGGACAAATCATGGCATCAGCACATGAATGTCCATGAATGAACGTTTTTTGAAATACCAGTCTAGCCTCATGGCCTTTTACATCTGGGGAAACTAAGGCTCAGAGAAGAGACACAACAGGTCATTGGTCTAGAACCTTTAGTTTCAGGGTCCCTCTCTTCATCAGCTCCTCCTATGGGTGGATGGGCAAAGCCAAAGGGGAGAAGGTATAGGGCAAGGAGGGCAAGAATGAAAGAGGGCAGGGAGGTGATCCTCACCATTGACTTGCAGCTTGAAAGAGAGCTGGTCTTCATCATCCTCGTGGAAGGCCCGCATGGTGTAACTGCCAGCCTCTGCCACCTTCACCCGCACGAGCGTCAGCTCTGACACATACCTGGGGGGAGGGCAGGCCATGAGACCCACTGGTCAGTCTTACAACCTTCCCAAACCTCTCCTGTGCAGACAAAAAAAGCAGGCCGAGGGAAGCCAGAGGCCTGCCAACTTCACACAGATATTAGCAGCAAACTCTAACCCGTGTCCTGAGTCCCCAGCCAGACACAGTGCCACCACGCGGAGAGGAAAGCCCAGGTGGGCCTGAGAACAGGACGTGCTATCCCCACCCACATCTCATTCCCCTCAGAAGGGCCTTATCCTAGCAGGCTACAGTCCCTGCTGGCCTGCTAAACTCGATACTCAGGGATGCTAGGGGTGGCAGTGAGTGGCCCTCCTGCACCTTTTCTCTGTATTGTCCCCTTTTGCTTTCAGCTATCACCTGCTGACTTCACTCCTCTCAAAGACAACTAAATATCTGAGTGGTCAGCTGAGCAGTGTCTGAGTCTCCACCTAGAGCAGAAACTGGGAGGGCTGGAACTGTCCCCGAAGCATCCCTAAAGCCTGCCATGGTGCCTTGCACGCAGCAAGCTCTCAGGAAAGGCCAGTCTAGGCTTTTGGGATGTCTGAAGGCCGCGGACTGCCAGGCAGCTGCCAAGTTTCCAAAATGGAGTGGGCCAGCAGCTGCTTACCGGGTCTCAGACACATTGCGTGTGGCCAGGGCTATCTCGCCGATGCTGGTGTCCCCCAGGGTACGGTTGTCCTTGAACCACAGGACGGTGGGCGATGGGTAGGCCTCGATGATCACTTGCAGCGTCCGGCTCTGGTGCAGCTCAGCAACTTCCACAGCGCCCAGTCCTTGTAGCAGCCGCACATAGCCTCTCTCTGCAAGGTAAACCAGTCAGGGGCAGCGCCTAGGGATGGGGCCAGCCCAGCATCTCCAGGAGGCAGAGCTTCTGAGGCAGGGCACCAACTGAATGCTGTAAGCATTAGGAACCAATTGGGCATTAGAACTGGGGTTAGAGTTGGGGTTGACCCTGGAGCAGGGGCCACATTTAGTGGCAGGGCTGATTTTGAGCTTGGAACTGTAGTTCTCCCATCTGGTTCATTATTGCTGCTGAGGAACACAGATCCCTCAACCAGTGCTGAGGCTCAATTTGGGGATAGGACTGCCTAGGCCTAGGGTGGGGTTGGGTGGAGAAATCAGGTTGGGTCTAGGGTTCCAGCTAGGCAGAAAGTCCAGGCTGGGTTAAGGCAAGTCAAACCCATGCTGCACTTTGGTGTGGGTTAAGCCTGGACCTGGGGCTGGCACACAGTTGGGGGTGGAACTACAAAGTGGCTTCCTGGCCCCAGAGCTGTACGAGGGCTGAGTCCAGCCCAGAGTGGGCTGGGGGCTGAGTCCACAGCACCCACCGACCACAGTGACATTGATGGCCTTCTCATCTCGGTGTTCATTCACACTCTCTGACACATTGCACACGTAGGTCCCTGAGTCACCCAGCTCAGCGTCGTGGATGTGCAGGATGGAGCGAATGTGGTTGGGCATGTCGGGGAGGAAGTCTGTCACTGCCTCTACCTGCCGCCCACTCTGCAGGGACAGGAGCAGCAGGTTTTCCAAATCAGTAGGGGTCCGTGAGAAGTCAGTCCGCAGGCTGAGATTTCCATCCCTGCCTGGACCCCCTGCAGCCCCTGGCCCATGTTACCTCCTTTCGGGGGTACATCCACTCAAAGTTGACCACCTCATTCCCTGTCACAATGCACATGATGGTGATGTTCTCTCCCTGGCGGACCACAGTCTGCACCGCATTCACAGACACATTGATAGATGACACTGGAGGAGAGAGAGTGGCCTGAGACAGAGGCAATCACCAGCCGCCAGCACTTCTGCTTGGGGACGGAGGAAGGGGCCAGAGGGCAGGGCTGGGGCTGGGGCTATCACAGGGACTAGGTTGGATAAAATCTCTGTTGTCATGGAGCTAATGCTCAAGAAAGGGCTAACAGAAGTAAAAGTGTCCTCCAGAGACGTAAGTACAGGAAACATTTACTGAGCGCTTGCGTGACAGGTCCCTTCCATCTTTTGTTTCATTTAATCTTCACAATAATCTTATAAGGTAGCCATTTATTATCATCCCCATGTTATAGAGAGAGACACAGGCTCAAAGGGATCGTATGCTCTGAGCATAATTATTCAGATGGAAGGGGCTGAGCTGAAATTCAAAGCCAGCTGGCTTGAGAGAGTGTGCCTTTGTCCATCATGTTGTGCAGCCCAGCTCCACCACTAATGAATTCCAGGACTGAGCAAACACTAGCCTCTCTCTGAACCCCAGCTCCTTTGTTCATGAAGTAGGGGAAAATGACCTTCCAAGTCTACAGTGAGAATCCAGTGGCCAGTGAGTGGCACACTTGGTAGACTGTAAGGGGTGCTCCTCTGTGAAGGGTGGTACTTGCCCCTGCTAAGGACCAGGCCAGAAGGGGGCTCACCCTGGAGACTGTAGACATAGTAGGCTTCAGAATCCACTTCCCTGTCCCCAATGGTGGTTTTGCAGATGTAGGTCTTGTCCTCAAAGGTACCAATGAAGCCTCGCTGGTGATCATAGGGGACAGGCAGAGGGACGTCCTCCTTCTTCTCATGCAGTGTCACCACCAGCTGAGGGTCTGTGACTCGGCATGGGATGGTGGTCTCAGTTATTTCCGTGACAAAGATGAATATATCCTCGGGGTCTATCGGGAGGAAGCCCATGGTGGGATCTGCCAGAAGAGGAGCGGAGAGAAAATGAGAACCAGGAGAAATGGGTTTCTGGCCAGGCAGTGAATTCTGTGGGACTTTGAGCCAGTCTCCTCCCCTCTTCTGCCCTCAGTCTCCTCAATGCAGAATAAGAATGCTGCTATGGTTTGAATAATGGTTGTCTCCAAGGCTCACTGGCCTGTAATTACCTTTGTGATAGTAGTAAGAGGTGAGAAGGCCACAAATGCCTGGTGATGGGTAGATTGGTGCCATGGTAAAAGGCTACCTTCAGTCACCTCTTGCTCTTCCTTGCCCTTCTGCCTTTATCCATGAGAGGACTCAAAAAGAAGACCCTTACCAGGTGCTGGCCCTTGATCTTAGGCTCTGCAGCCTCTAGAACTGTGAGCCAACCCAGTCCTGTTCATGATCAATTTAGTCCATCTCAGACATTATGTTATAGCAGCAAACCTGGACTAGGACAGACCTCAGGGGCTCCTTCCACTTCTGATGCTGGTATTGATAGTCCCAGGGTGAGAAGACAGGCCCTAGAGCCAGCCAGAGAGCTCAGCAGACTAAAGCACCTACTTGGCAAGCCTAGGGAACAGGGGTTTGATCCCCATGCCAAGCCGGCCCCGTCCCCAGGATGCACTGAGATGGTAAATGAGATTGGGCATGGTAGCTCAGTCTCTTGGGAGCTGAAAATAGGAGGATCACTATGAGTCTGATCTGTGCATTGAGACCCTATAGACCTTGTAGTAAATACATAAAAATAAATAAATAAATAAGAAGACAAGTCCTAGATTGCTGTATGGTTGGTTCCTGCGACCCTGATAGCGAAGACTGGAGAAAGTTGAGTTCCTAGGGCAGAAAGCAGGTAGATATCAGGCCAATGTGTGGGAATGAACACAAACCTGGTCTGAGCAGGGCGGGCTTCCATGATTTGTGTGCATTTCTAAGTTGGCTGCATTTCACGGTGTCATTGAAGGGTCCACTGAGCTTGCCCCGATGCCGTCAGTAGGGAAGAGGGAGTGTGGCTAAGCCACGGTTCTTACCTGGCACAAAGATGTACAGCCGCTTCCGCTCACTGGGCTCCAGCTCGAGGGAGCTGTTGTAGGTGCAAAAGTATTCTCCTGTGTCTCCCCCAGTGACGTTGGTCAGTGTTAGCATGCTGGTAAAGGTGCCATCCTGGGTCATGACCATTTCCTGTTGGGGTACCTGGGACATCCGTTCCCACACTACTGGAACTGAACCCAAGCAGGTCAGAACAAAGGTGCTAGAGAGATTGAGAACCAGCTCTGGGCCCGTGGGAATGATGTCCAGGCCTTGGGAGATCTGTGGTCCCGGCAACGATAGCAGTGGCAGCAACAGTAATGGACCTTTAGGAGGGGAGGTGTCAGATGTCAGGGCACAGAAACCTCAGGAAGACCCCCAAAGCCACACTGAAGCCACCAAGTCCTCAAGGAGCACACGTCCCTGTCCAATAGATTAGAGCTCTCTGCCCATGGCTTGGGGGGCCTTCAGACCTACTACGGGTCACCAAGAACTCCAGGCCTCCTTCTTAGTCCCTTTGGAGCTCCTGCATCTGAGTCCTTCCATGGTGTTATGTTCAGGCAGCGGGCAGGGGAAGGGGTCAGGAAATCCTCGGGAAATCATTCCCAGGCCTCTAGTTCCTGCATGACTTCCCAGGTCACTTTCTGGGCTTTTGTCCTGTAGCTGCTCCCAACTGCCTAGCTTCTGATGAAGCCCAGAGGTGACCTTGCTTAGAGTGGGGACAAACTGGGACAGGAGAGATGATGAGGACCCTGGGGTGGGGATGGTGTGTGTGTGTGTGTGTGTGTGTGTGTGTGTGCGTGTGTGTGTGTGTGTGTGTGTGTGTGTGCTCTGTCTTTCCCTCACCTGGTGACATCCTCTGGGGAAGGGGTAAAAACCATGCCCCCAGCACAGGACAGTGAGTCTCTGTGCATCAGACAGAAGTCTGTCAGGAAAGCCACTGCCTGGTCATGGAGTGCCTCAGCATTTGCCCATCCCCTAGAGGGCAGAAGGCATGTCATCTGCCAGTCTGAGGAAAGACAACAAGCTGGTGATTGCTGGGGGTACAAGAACAGGGAGGGCCAGGCAGAGAATTTGAGGTTCAGAAGAGGCTCCCAGATGGTTTCTGAGCTGAGAGGTGGGCCGTTGAAGGAGGTCGACACATAAATACCCTTGAGATATAGGAAATGCAGGCTCAAGAACAACCCCAATGCTTCTGGACTCACACCCTGGTGTTAGTAGGCACCACCCCACAAGCTTCAGGGCCTGTTGAGTGCCCTGGCTTCAGGACCCCTGCCCTGGCCTGCAGGGCTACTTACCTTGGAGGACCAGAGCTGGCATCACCAATGGAAGCTGCATGATGGCCTGTGGAGCGAAACAGGGTTAGGACCCATTTTAGCACCTGGCTCCTGCACAGTCGGCCTTTGTCTGGACTGCCAGCCTCCATGGTGTGGGGCCGGTGGGCCTGAAGTCAAAGGCCACCCATGCCCAAGCTGAGAGGACATCCGTAGCCATGTGCCCCCACCCCTCTGCTTCTAGTGCTCGTGTGGACTTGGCTGAGTCCTTTGTCCTTCTGGGCCTTGGTTTCCCTGTATGTACAGCAGGTCCTGGGGAGGTTGGACTGGATAGTATCCAGGGGCTGCCAGCCCTGACAGACTGTCCTCCGGGTGACAGTTCCAATACTAGGTCCTTATCTGCCAGGACAAATATTTGGGAAAGTGCGATGAAAGGCCTGGAGGAGAAGGAGGGGTGAGCCAGAACCCAGAGAACTCCCACAGCTCTGCAAGCACAACAGGAAATGGAGGCGGCTGTGGGAAGGGAAGCGGGGGAGTAGGGGCTGTGGAATGTGGGGCCTGGGCCCCCCTACTCAGCCCTGACCCACACCAAGAGGCCCGGGGAAGAGGGGCTCTGGGCTGGGCCTAGGAGAGGCACCTTTGCGAGGAGCCGGCCTTGGAGGTCCTTAGGGACCATGGAAGCCTCACCACCACCCCGCTGGCTGTTAGACGGGAAGCGGAGGCTCTGAGGGGGAAAGTTTGCCCCAGGCCCCACAGCAGGCCCTGTGGGAGGGAGACAAAGGGCTGGAAGGTGGATGCAGAGGAAGGCAGAGACAGGCAGCACAGGGGAGACACCCGGAAACCCATAGTGCCTCGGGCTCGGAGAGAGGGAGGCAGACAGTTTGAACTGGGAGATCTTGCTGTGTCCCAGTGCCAGGCCATGGATCCCAAACCACCACCAAGGGCTGGGGATGCCAAGGGGTTCCCTGCAGTCTTGACTGAAAGGAGGTTAGAGGCAGACAGGGTCACAGGGCCAAACACATGGGGAGTAACCAGGGGACGGGCCACCGGAGCCTCCTGGGTCGTCGGGTGTGGGATGCATCCCCCGAGTGGATGCCCAGCCTGGCTGAGCCCAGCTCCCCTCTCTGCATCTCACTTCCCTGCTTCCAGTTCCATAGGGGTGCTGGGTAGGAGCCACCACTCAGTGTACCTGGGCCTCGGCCATCTCTATCTCCATCTCTTGTGGGGGGACGGTGGCAAGTGTGCCACTTACCAGGGCCAGGTTCATGTTAGGGCTGCAGACCCGAGGCCTGGCTCCAACCAATGCCCCAGGAAGTAATTGGAGAAATCTGCTCTTCCTCTACCCCTGGCCTCACTTCACTTGGCCTACCCGAGAGCTCCTTCTGCCTTGCTTTCTCTCCCTGCTGAACTGCTCTGCAGGTCAGAGCCCAGCCTTCCTGATGCCCCTGCACAGGTTCCTGCTCCCAAGTGTCCTGGGCCACCCATCCTGCTGGACTCCCAGTGCCCTTGGGAGAACGGAGCAGTGCCCAGGCATCCCATCTGCGCCCCAGTGGGTGCCCCTCTGGCTTTTCTCTTCCTGCCAGAGGACTGGGCCAAGGAAAATGATTAGCAGCCCAAGCTGGGGGAGGGGTCACTGCTTCCCCACCCCTCCCCTCCTGGCCTCCTTGGCTGGCCACACTGTTTATTATTCTAAAGGAGGAATTTGGCCGGCTGGCCTCAAGATGGGAGGTCACTGCAAGGGAGCTGGACTGGCTCTTGCAGGCTAGGATGGCCATGTGGGCTGGGACCTCATGGCATGCAGCCCCTGACCCTGCTCCAGTGTGCTACTCCTCTGTCCATTTCAGGCCCTCTCCTGACAGGCCTGGGTCAGGAATGGCTTAGGGCCTCTGAGACTCAGCCAGGAGAAGCCCTTGTGAATGTCCAGTAGAGGCCCAAAGGGGCCCGGAGTCATGACCGTGTCACACAGCAAAAAGGTGAATTTGGGCTCTTGGACAAGGATCATCTGGAAAGATGAGATCAGAGAGAGAGAGAGAGAGAGAGTAGAGGCTTTTGGGAGGGACACCATAGCTTGGACTGGCTCAACTGAAGCATTTCTGCTCCAAGGGACCTTGAACCCACTGTAAGACTGGGTGTCCAGCTGTCCTGGAACTCTGTTTCCCCATCCTCTACATACACAGAGAAGATTGGGGGCTCATCTCAAGCTTCTCTATTCTCAAGTTGTACAGTTTGACCAGCCAGAGAGAAGTTCTAGTCATCCTTATTCTTAGTAGGGTGGCTGGAGAAGGTGGGGCCGGCTGGGGTGGGGGTGGAGGGAGAAGAGCTAGTGCGGGGAGGCGATGCCTCTCTGAGGCCAGAGTCACATGCAGATTCAGTCTGCATTGACTGTCTGATGACGTGCTATGTGGCCTGAGACAAGGTGCTTCCCTGCCCCTACCTCATATTCTCCCTCTGCCTTTCAGATGTGCACAGACAGATGAACTTGAGGTGTGGAAGCCCGGGATTTGGCAGACAGGAAAGTGGAAAGGATGGCAAGCTAAAGGGCTAGCACGAACCAGACTGGAGCTTGGGGTGCTCTGTGATGACCGCCTGGGCCATCTGGATAACTCTGTCACCCTCAGTTGCCCACTTGCTGCCTTCTAGACCATTTTGTACTTCCTGGTGGCAGCTGTGGTTGCAGCTGACCCTAGGGGGGCCTAGGCAGCTGACATGGGGGGTCGTTTTCCTGTGACAGCTTCCTTCATGAGGGGAAGGAGCTGTGTTAAAGGGAAAAACCACAGTCAGGAGAGAGGCAGCCTTGTCTGCCACTCTGTCCTCCTAGGGAGCCCCCTGGAATGGTAGGAGAGGGGATCCCAAGCACCTTTCCTTTGCCCAGGGAGATCTGCTGCGCCCTGGGAAGCCTTCAGGACTCCTCCCATACAAGCCAGGTGGGAGGGACAGAGTTCCAAACATGGGGTCACTGCCCTGCCCAGTGAATCAGAGGAACCCCTCAAGGAATGGAGGACCCCAATTCCAGGGGAGCAAGCATGTTTGGGGGATCCTTCGCAGAGCCCCAAGCTTCCCTCTAATATGCACATTCAATTCTCTAGTCCTTTCCCACCGCCTTAATCTAAATAAATCCTGTCCATCTTAGCCACATCCGCCAGTAAGAGCTCCCCTCCCTCGGGGTCCTGAGGCTCCCACGACACAGGCCGTCAGGGGAGGGGGCCCAAATCACTGCGGAAGCCAGGCCTGCACATGGTGAGCACATGGACACAGTGCAGACGCCTGCCTACGCGCTCGCTCACACGCTCCTCTGAAACCCTTACATGTATAGCTGGCAGGAGTGTGCCCCGTCCCCTGCAGGCACTCACCCATGCATCCCACACCAAATGCATGCACGCACCACTCCACTGAGCCCAGCACGCACTCGCCCAGGCACAGACTGTGCCCAGGTGCTTTCCCAGGTGCCCATCAGAGAAGCACCCATGTGTAACACATCAGCACGTGGTGCACACAGAATGTGCACAGGGGACCCTAAGTGCCCCTGAGCACATCTACATGTATCCACAGATGAACCAGACAGTTGTGTGTGCTGTGCGCAGTTCTGAGACCCTGACAGGTACTGAGTCACTTGGATACCACAATTCTTTCCATTTTGCAGGTGGGGAGACTGAGGCACAAAGCACCTCAGAAACTTGCCTAGGAATGCAAAGCCAGGTAAGGGTAGAGCAGGGAGAGGTAGGTCAGTGTGACTTTGTGCCGTGTGCCTCACCACTGTCTGGGTGGGTGGAGGTCGACAGAGAGTAGTGGGTGGGACTGCCAGAAACAGACAGATTTGAGATTAAGTTGGAGGAGAATCTACAGGCCTTGGTGATTAAAGGTGGGGAGCTAGAGAGGTACGCTTCATAGAAGACTGGCACCTATGTTTCTGGCTTGGAATGCTGGGCAACAGGAACCTGTATGTACTGAGGGGGGGGGAGATGCCTTTTTCTGAGAGGATATGGAGGCCAAATAGCAGGACTGAGTGGCCTCAGAGCTGGTTTAGAACGTGGAGGGTTCCAAGGTGCAGGGAACAGGTTGGGTAGAAACAGCGGCAAGCAGGGGCTGGAGGAAGCCCTGCCACAGGGTGGAGGCTGCTCAGTGCAGGGTCATGGGGCTAGGGTGCTAGGAATAAAGAGGGTGCCCACAGGAAGAGAAGGAGGCAGCCTGTTCATGAGGTCACAGGGTCAGAGTGAGTCTTGGATTGTCCCAGCCCCACAACCCTCAGAGATCATTTACCCAATTCAAGCCCTTTCTTGGGCCCCCGCTGTACAAGTGGGGAAACTAAGGTGTAGAGCATGAAAGAGGAGGACCTATGTTTGGGCCTTGAAGGATGGGCACAGGTGACAGTGGGGTGCTTGAGCTCGCCTGCCAAGCAGCCCCTCCCGCAGACCCTGCTCAGGTGCAAGGTGCCTGAGGCCAGGGCTCAGACTGCATCTGCTGCTCCTCCTTCTTAACATGCTCTGATCCCTTTCCCCGCACTGCCAGGCAGACAAGTGACAGCGACTCAGAGAAGACACTTGTTCCATTGCCACATGTGGACACTGACTCATCTCCTGACCCTCTGCCTTGCTCTTTCTCCTCCAAAACAGGGGCACCTCACAAACTTCATGGTGGGACTAAAGGACATGGGACTAAGGGTTCCGGTTTCAGCTCTGTCACCACTTGCATCACAGCCCTGCCCCTCTCTGGGCCTCAGTATCCCCATCGGTGTGGCAGGATGGGAGAACTTGTAGGGCTACATGTGGCGGCTCTCAGGGTCTTGCTCTGGAAGGCAGCTGTTTGGAGCTACGGTGCTGCTGAGGGGCCGCAGCCGCAGGTCATGACTCAGCTCTTAGCCTGGAGTGTGGGGGGCAAGAGGCACGTGGAGCTAGGGATGGCATCCCCGCTCATGGCAGGAGGCCTGGCAGTCTGGCCTGTGTGGCCTTCCCTAAGCTGGCTACGGCATGGTATGATCATCAGTCAGGCCAGGAAGCCTCATTCTGGAAGCTAGGGGAGCAGGGTCCCAAAAGTGGGGATACCATTACCAGCTGGGAGGGCAGAGACTCCACC